CTTGAGTTGGGAAGATCCCCTGGAGAAGGCAATGGCAACCCACTCCAGTATTCCTGCCTGGAAAATTCCATGGACAGAGAAGCCTAGTGTGCTACAGTCCATTAGGTCGAAAAAAGTCAGACACGACTGAGTACACATAAGCATATGAAGAGTATATATATCATCAGTTATAGCCATTCAAGGAAATGTCATGCAGCAGTGATAATGATGGTGATGAAAGCTACAATAACATGGAAAATATTTAGATGCAATGTTACATTTTAAAAGTTGCATATAAAATTATATATATCACATGTCAGAATAATATAAAAATTACCATAGTTATGAAAACAGACACATTCACAGGAAAAAAATAGAAAACACAACTAAATGCTAATAGTAGCTATGTTTAACATAGTGAGTATTAATTTATTAGAATATTAGATATTATTAGCATTAGATAACATTAATGTATTCAGTTCAGTTCAGTCGCTCAGTTGCATTTGACTCTTTGCGACCCCATGAACTGCAGCACGCCAGGCCTCCCTGTCCATCACCAACTCCCAAAGTTTACCCAAACTCATGCCCATTGAGTTGGTGATGCCATCCAACCATCTCATCCTCTGTCATCCCCTTCTCCTCTGCCCTCAATCTTTCCCAGCATCAGGGTCTTTTCAAATGAGTCAGCTCTTTGCATCAGGTGGCCAAAGTATTGGAGTTTCAGCTTCAACATCAGTCCTTCCAATAAACACCCAGGACTGATCTCCTTTAGGATGGACTGGTTGGATCTCCTTGCAGTCCAAGGGACTCTCAAGAGTCTTCTCCAACACCACAGTTCAGAAGCATCAATTTTTTGGTGCTCAGCTTTCTTCACAGTCCAACTCTCACATCCATACATGACCACTGGAAAAACCACAGCCTTGACTAGCTGGACCTTTGTTGACAAAGTAATGTCTCTGTTTTCTAATATGCTGTCTAGGTTGGTCATAACTTTCCTTCCAAGGAGTAAGCGTCTTTGAATTTCATGGCTGCAATCACCATCTGCAGTGATTTTGGAGCCCAAAAAAATAGTCAGCCACTGTTTCCACTGTTTCCCCATCTATTTGCCATGAACTAATGGGACTGGATGCCATGATCTTAGTTTTCTGAATGTTGAGCTTTAAGCCAACTTTTTCACACTCCTCTTTCACTGTCATCAAGAGACTCTTTAGCTCTTCTTCACTTTCTGCCATAAGGGTGGTGTCATCTGCATATCTGAGGTTATTGATATAATACATAATATTAATGTATTAGAATGATTTTTTCTTTTTATTTTTTCTATTTTTTGTTTGCTTTTTATATTTTTAAATGTATTTTTATTGAAGTATAGTTGAATTACAATGTTGTCTTAATTTCTGCTGCACAGTAAAGTGATTCAGTTATATACAAATATATTATATATAATATATATGTATATATACATTATTTCTTTAGTATTCTTTTCCACTATGGTTTATCATAGGATATTGAGTAGAGTTCCCTGTGCTATACAATAGGACCTTGCTTTTTATCCATTCTATGTATATGTTTACATCTGCTAACTCCAACCTCCTTCAATCCTTATTGAAGGATTAGGTTAATTTCATATTTTAAAATGCTGACTTGGAATGTATTTTGTCTAAAAACAATAATGAGTTGGTGAACAAGCCCACCGCCTCATTTACCAGCAGGGCATGCCTGTCTCCCTGGCACTGTACCCTCTTTAAGATGAAAGCTACCACAGCTGCAGAGGCTCTCCATGAGTCTGCTTGCTGTCAGCAAGATGCATTTTAAAGATCAAGCACTTTAGGCTTTGTCTTATAAATGAGGAGGAGAAGAGATGAAATAAACCACGGACTTTGAGGCTTTGATACAAACTGCAAACAGAAAAGTTCTATCAATTTCTAAGGGAAATGCTGTCCATCAAATGCTCCCCGGGGTCACAGAGCCCCACAGCTTGGTCGGCGAGCTTGAGATATAAGCCGCATAAGATGAGAATGCTTCCTTTCTGCACTGACCGCGCCTCATGGCGTACTGACATCCCAGCTCCCAAGCCTTTGAGAGGACTCCGGCATTTTCTTGGTAATGTGGCAAAATGAAGGGGAGCCTTGAGGACCTTGAGACCATCTGTGAATAGCTAGAAAGGAACTCTCGGGAGAGGATGGGATGAGATCTGAGATTAACTGGGAGAGTTGACACGTGTACATGATCATGTGTGAAATAGACAGCTAGCGGGAAGCTGCTTCATATCACAGGGAGCCCAGCTCAGTGCTCTGTGACAAGCTAGAGGGTTTGGGGGGGGGGGGGGGGTAGGGAGGGGATATATGTACACATACAGCTGATTCACACTGCACAGCAGAAACTAACATGACCCTGTAAGATAATTAGCCTCCAATTAAAAATATATTAATTCTTTTAAAAAGAAAAGAATGGAAAGATTCATTAGCCTTTGTTCATATCTGCCTCACCTGAGCCTGTCTTGGTGTTTGATATCAAGGACATGAAAGACTTACCCAGTGGGAAAACTCCTAATCTCCTGTCTCTCTTCTCACCCCCTTCCTCCTTTCCAACAGAAGACCCACCGTGTGCCAGCTACCTTGCTACACAGTGAGGACATAGTCACATCAGACAGGATCGGGCCTCCAAGGAGCTTGAGATCTACCCCTGCCCACTGAAAGAGTGGCCGTTGCACTGCCTCGACTCTTGTGTGAAATTCAGACTTTCAGGTCCCAACGAAAACCCACTGACTCAGAATGGTGATTTTAGCAGGTTCCCAGGGTGATTCACAGGCACTGGAGGTTGAGAAGGCAACCTCTCAGAGGGTAAGCCCAGTTTTTTAGGAGTGTTGTTGTTTTATTAAGATTAAGGAGTTACAGTCACTATGGAGAACAGTATGGAGGTTCCTGAAAAAATTAAAAATATAATTCCTACATGATCCTGCAATTCTTCTTCTGGGCATATAGCCAGAGAAAACTGTAATTTGAAAAGATATATGCATCCCTGTGTTCAGAGCAGCACTATTTACAGTAGCCAATACATGGAAGCAACCTAAATGTCCATCAACAGATGAATGGATAAAGCAGATGTGGTACATATATATAATGGAATATTACTCAGTCATAAAAAGGAATGAAATAATGCCATTTGCAGCAACATGGGTGAGCATAGAGATTATCATAAGTGAAGTAAGTCAGAGAAAGACAAATATCATATGAAATCATTTATATGTGGAACTTACTAACAAAAAACAGTTAAAATGAGCTTATTTAAGAACTAGAAACAGGCCCAAAGACATATTATAAAAAGAAACTCATGGTTATCAAAGGGGATAAAAAGGTAGGAGAGGGATAAATCAGGATTTGGGGATTAACACATATACACCACTGTATATAAAATAGGGAACCAACAAGGACCTACTGTATAGCACAGAGAATTCAACTCAATATTTTGCAATAACCTATAAGGGAAAAGAATCTGATAAAGAGTATATATATATATATATATATACATATGTCACTGTGCTATAAACTTGAAACTAACAAACATTGTAAATCAACTACAATTTTTTAAAAAAAGGACTGAGGATTGAGTGTTGTTATTTTGCTTTCACAAACTATTTTAGCTTATTTTATCAGTGTCAGCTGGAAGTATATATGACTGGCAGGAGCCTCTGTCATGAGACAGTGATTGCCCGTGGGGGTGGAAAGTCCCCTCTGGGAGGCTTTGTGGAGTGGACAGAAGAGGAGAGAGGACAAGGGGGGAAGCGGATGTGGGCTTCTGCCAAGGGGCAGTCAGGAGATGAGGGGCGTGGGAATGTCCCCTTAACAGTGGACAACCCAGGACTAAGCAAACAAGTTTGGAAGCGCTGGCTTCCTGGAGGCAGCATCTGAATGGGATATACTCTCTACTCAGGCTCAGAAAAGGGGCTTCCCAGGTGGCTTAGCGGTAAAGAGTCCACCTGCCAATCCAGGAGACTACAGTTTGGATCTCTAGGTCGGGAAAATCTCCTGGAGAAGAAAGTGGCAACCCACTCCAGTACTCTTGCCTGGAGAATCTCATGGACAGAGGAGCCTGGTGGGCTACAGTCCATGGAGTCACAAAGAGTCAGACGTGACTGAGCGCGCACACCCACCCACCCACCCACACCCACACACACACAGGCTCAGAAAACCAAATCTCCTCCTGTGTTTTGTCTCCTGAGTCTGCAGGCATCTCACACAGCCACTCAACACAGGAAGGCATTCAAGGGTGCGGGAATAAGCCGGGGGGACAGCAGGGACTGGAAATCCAGGACCTCCAGCACTCCCTGTAAGGAAGGATTCTTGGAGACTGCAGGGAGGTGGGTTGTTATGATCGTTGTTGCTGTGTTTTGAGAGGGAAGTTTTGTTTTTGCTTGGATGGGTTTCTCTCTACCAAAGTAAATTTGAGGCAATGCACCTGTTTCAGAAAGGATACTTCAGGAATAAAACGGATTTGGGATTTCTAACCAAGGCTATATGCTTCTTGAGTGTGGCTCCACATCCTACCGGCATCAAGAAGTAGGAGCAGTATCTAAACTGGGAGTTAGAGATTAAGGTATATAGTCTCACTTGAGTCTCTAGTATCTCCAAGGCACAGCCCTGAGCATATCTCCTCATCACACAGGTGTTATAGAGGGTACCTGTAATCTTTCCTACCTTTGAGCCCGCTGACTTTCTGTTGCATTGGCTGGAAACCATCTCTTAGCATTCGACATCATCAGGTGGGAGAGGCTTGGATGAAGATTTACGTCTTCCCTTCGGAGGAAATCACAAGTACTGACGCCTATTTTGTAGGTCACAGCCATACCCCGGGACATTGGTTCCAGCATCTGAGGCAGATTCCAGCTTCTGCAGATGTTCCAGTCCCATAGCCAGTCCTCCATAGGCGAGGGTTCAACCAATTATTGTTCACCATCCGCCTCTGGTTGAATCCTCGGATGAGGAACCTGCAGACACGGACAGACGGAGAGTGGAGCATCTAACATGCTTTATATTTTGTTTTGGCATGTGCAGAAAGTGTTCAAGTACATTTATTCTAGATGGGTGTTAAAAATAGTAAGTTTTTTCCCTATAGTCTATGAAGAAACAATTTATAAGGTATCAATCAATCTTTGGGCTTCCCGTGTGGCACTAGTGGTAAAGAACCCATCTTCCAATGCAGGAGACATAAGACATGCGGGTTCAATCTCTGGGTTGGGAAGATCCACTGGAGGAGAGCATGGCAACCTGCTCCAGTATTCTTGCCTGGAAAATCCCATGAACAGAAGGGCCTGGCAGGATACAGTCCATGGGTCACAAAGAGTTGGACACAACTGAAGTGACTTAGCACACACACAGGCAGTTAAACATTGATTTTCTTATAAAGAAGAATCAAGTCTAAGTATTTTAAAGACCTTTTCATGGAAGGTAGCTTTGAGGGCATGTGAATAATGCCAAGAATAGGATTTAGACTTTCCACCTCAGTTCAGTTCAATTGCTCAGTCGAGTCCGATTCTGCGACCCCATGGACTGCAGCACACCAGGTTTCCTTGTCCATCACCAACTCCCAGAGCTTACTCAAACTCATGTCTATCGAGTCGGTGATGCCATCCAACCATCTCATCCTCGGTCGTCTCCTTCTCCTCCTGCCTTCAATCTTGCCCAGCATCAGGGTCTTTTCCAATGAGTCAGTTCTTCAAATCAGGTGGCCAAAGTACTGGAGCTTCAGCTTCAGCATCAGTCCTTCCAATGAATATTCAGGACTGATTTCCTTTAGGATGGACTGGTTTGATCTCCTTTCCACCTCACTCCAGTGTAAGCTCAGGAAAGTTTGTCTGATGTCTTTCTCAGCTGTTTTCACAGAGGAGTATGACACATGGCTCCCTAACACTCTCAGAATAATTTTTGAATTGAACTAAATGTCTGTGACACAGCGATAACCAGCAGGCACCTAGGCTGGTTGTGCATGCTTGTCTGTGTGTGCATGCATGCTGGCATGTGTATGTGTGTGGTGACAAGTATGCACACGTGCACGTGTGTGCCTGCATGTGCTTGTGTGCATGCACACACGTGTGCGTGCACACATATGACCAAATGTGTGCTTGCACGTGTTCGCATGCTTGTGTGCGTCCATGTGCTGGGACAGACTGGGCTGGAAGAGAGACCCGGGGAACACACAGAGTGAGTTGTATTCCCAAACACGGGTGGTGCCTTGGCTCTGACGCTGGCCCAGCCCTCCCGGGCTGGAGGGCATTACTGGCTCTATCTTAAGCCAGGATTCCCTTTCACCCGCTGCAAACAGAGCATAAAAATATCTCCAGCGGGTAGCTTTCCCAAAAGGGGAAGGCCCTTCACTTTCACAGGAAATACTGCATTTAAGGAAAAATAAATCCCCTGGAGGGGCTGAGGTGGGGTTTAGCCATCACTGAGGTTTGTCTCCCAGGGTATCGGGGAGGAAGAGTGCTGAGCTGTCGCTGGGAAACCCGGAAGGGGAAACGTGGACATCGCGCCTCCCACCGATGTGGGGAGGTGGACCAAAGGATGGTGAGTTTCTCTTCTGGCCAAGTTGCCTGCAGATTCCTCCTGTGAGGTCAGCCTTGCCCCCGCCCAACCCCCCACCCTGCTCTGCTTCCTGCCGCAGCCACTGGGCACCTTGTCCTTTCCTCAAGCAGCCTGATTTTCCAGCCACCAAAAATAACAACATTTGATACCAGGCCTCTGAAAGCTTTGGCTGGGGTCATGTTTCCAAATTCTTGACTCGAGAATTGTTAAATGAGAACTCCTATTTTTTTCTTCCAGTCAGGCTATTTTTTTCCTCTTTTTTTTCTCAAGATGTTGGGAGAACCCCAACCAAGGAATCAGTGCTTAATGGGTCACAGGGTATAAATAGCAGTGTTGAGATCCTAACACAAGGCTCTTTGTACTATCATGCAACTGAACCTTAAAAAAAAAAAGAAGAAGAAAAAAGCTTCCAAACAGACCAGTTAACATACCAGCCTGGGGACTGGGGCGAGGGAGGGGTAGCATTGCTGAGCCCAAGCTATGTTCTATATTTGTCCATGCCTGCATTCCACTACTGCCGTCTATTTACAGCCTGGCCATGTACACAGGATCCCCTATTCATTAAACATGGATGTAAAAAAAAAAGATTCTGTATGTATTTTTATTCTGTTGAATAGTTCACAGACATACATGAAGCCAATAAAGTCAGTCTTAGTGTGAATCCTGAGTCTGGGCTGGCATCCCTGGCTCCTAACTCTGTAATTGTCATTTTACTTGTCAACATGAGGCAAATTCTTCTCATCCATGAAATGGGAACAAACACACATGTTCACTAAGCTTGGCTCTAAGTGACACATAGTGTTGTTCTAAAAATTAAGAGAGAAGATCTGTGGTCTTCCTGGCTTTGAGGCGCTTTAAATATGAGATATTATCCTAATTAAACTAAATTTTCATCATGGGGTCAGTCCTTTAATGAAGTTAAATGGGAGGATCCATTAATTTGCTATCAGTCATTGTATTTGGAGTTCCTGAGGGATCCTGAAAATTGATGAATTATGACAAGCCCAACGGTATATTTCTGGCTGATTATGGCAAGCCCTGGGTGGTATTAAAAGAGATGCCAATTTTTATGTGACAGTGAAATTCATAGTCTCTAACAGAAGTACGGTTATACCAGTGAAAGGGACCAGGCTGAAGGGCGTGTGACTTAGCAGCTGACAAGTGCAATAATTCTCAGAATTTTGTGGCTCAAAATGTGTGCTGGCTACTAAGAACTGGGATTTTAGAAATAGAAAGTTCAGGTTACAAGCCTACTGGGCAGAAACTCGAACTCTTGGTGCTGGCAACATGCCCTGGGCATTCAGGGGTGGGCCAAGGTTCTGCCCATTCAGTGTCCGATGTTTAAATTCTGAGTCTGTAAGCAAAAAAAAAAAAATGTTGGAAGGGTTCCCTTACCTTTTGGAAACTGCAAAATAAAATCTCCTTTGGCAAAGAGTCTCTTTCTTTTGTGGGCTCTCCTACAGGGCTTCTTGGGCAGGATTTACCTCTGGGCTGCCATGACCCCAGTTCCCCAGTTGCCTGCTGTCCATCTTCCGGTGGGGGTGGAGGTTGGGGGGTGTGGGGTGGGGGCAGGGGTAACACTGTTGTTCAAGTCCTTGGATTAACCAGAAAATTAGCAGGAAAACAAAACAGTAGGGGGTCAAAGTGGGGTTCATACCACATGGTGAAATATCTCAGAGATGAAGCTGCCTGTTAATGAGGTTTAGAGTTTCAGTGGCTGATATTTGAGTTGGGTTGCTAGGAGAGAGAAGCAAAGAAGGGTACAGGCAGCCCTGTTTACCCCTAGCGTTGGCCCGGAACCCGGGTACAGGCATATTCAGATACCAAGGATCACACGTTGAGCACGTACTAGGTAGAGCTACAGCAGGAAGCATTTTAAATAGATCATTTCATTCAATATCCACAAAGGTCCTGTGAGACCAGTGCTTTCCTTATGCCCAGTCTGCATAAGAAAACAGAGCCCTAGAAAATAACTTGCCCAGACTTCATAGCTAACTACACTGTGCAAGCTGAATTTGAACCCAGACTATTGGATGTCCAAGCCTAGGCGGTTACTGACTTAGGTAAACTTCCTTTTTGCATAGCTGTAGACCCAGGTTCAATCCCTGGATCAGAAAGATCCCCTTGAGAAGGGAACGGCAACCCACTCCAGTACTCTTGCCTGGAGAATCCCATGCACAGAGGAGCCTGGCGGACTACAGTTCATGGGGTTGCAGAGTCCAACATGACTGAGTAACTCACACCCCCCCCCAAAACACACACCCTAAGCCTAGTGCAAATGTATCAGGGCTCTCCTGGGGCCATGCAGGGTTGGGGGTGGGGATGTCTGAGATGTTTGGGGATGAAAGGTCACAGTGTTACAGACTGAGAACCAGTCCCAGAGGCCAGGGCTCCTGGCTCCCGACTCCTCTCCCTGCTGAGAGCGTCCGGCAGCCCTGCTGGACCTAAATCAGGAACATCTGAATGGCAGATTCGAGCCCAAGTGTCCACCACAGCCTGCCTCTCCTCCACGCACAGGGCACAGAAATACGCTGCCTGCCCAGAGCTGTGACTTTGGAGGTAAGATCAGAGCTTACTTCCTAACAATGCCATACACTGATGAAAAGGAAATCTGAACTTCACGACTTTGTATGCACCCAGAAAATAGCATTTAAAAGCATCCTAATCGGTAAAGATTGAAAAAAAAAAAGAGCCTTGTTCTCTGGCTCAGTTTGGTCTTCTGATGTAAAAAAGCATGTTCTCTGCGTCTTAGCCTCCCAGGAGCTACGCTGCTTAACTTCTCTAGGTCTCTGGAAGGACCACAGCCCTTGCCTCTTACATGTTGAACTTTGAGACACAAATTTGTTTGTTTCTTTCTTTTTAAAAAACTTTTGGACACACCAAGGGGCTGACAGCATACCTACGTCTTTGGGAGTGAAAGCTCAGAGCCCTAACCACTGGACTACCAGTGAATTCCTGAGACACAAACCTCTAACCCTGACTCATGCCACTCTCTGCTCCTGCAAAAAAAAAAAAATCCTGAAATCTTCGAAGGAACTCTGAAATTTTACCCTCTTTAATCCTAATTCAACACAGCATCCGTGACTTCTCTGTAATGGCTATGTCAAATGCTTTCCTCAGCTTATTGCTCCATTCTGTGTTGATCTGTGGGCTTCCCAGGTGATGCTAGTGGTAAAGAACCCACCTGCCAATGCAGGGGACATAAGAGATGGAGGTTCAGCCCCTGAGTTGGGAAGACCCCCTAAAGGAGGGCGTGGCAACCCACTCCAGTATTCCTGCTTGGAGAATCCCACGGACAGAAGAGCCTGGTGGGCTACAGTCCATGGGAGCACAAAGAGTTGGACACGACAGAAGCGACTTAGCGCTCACACACACACGCGTTTATCTGTGTCTTCCCCATAGACCGGGAGCTTCCTGAGGACCCCACGCCTACCTTACCCTTTTCTGCTGTGGCACCCAGCGCAGAGCCTTGTACACATACAGAGCACACACGGAACAAGCAAGTCAGTGGAGGCAGGAATGAACATGTGATGCCCATGCAGCATACACACAACCAACGATCCTCAGGGTAGAGGACGGAGAACCCCTCCTGAGTGCCCAGAATGTCCTGGTTCAATTCTGTTCCACCACACCTGGCACCTTGCCAGGCAGCCTGGCCCATTTCCTGCTGGATGTGCTTTGCATCACCTATTACCATCCTTGCCTAACCCTGGGGGCTGGGGAGGGAGGGTGTGTTCTTATTTTTGTTCTGAAGTGTGCCCCCAGCTTAACATCAATTCTGTTTTTTTTTTCATTTTTCTATAGCATCAGTTCATTTTTACTCACTTATCTGGGCATTTCTCCCAAGGTGAATCTTGCTCCGCTTCACATAAGTGGACGATATCTGCATCTTCCACGCCTTCTTCCCATCCAAGCCCTAAATCAGACTGGTCTCCAAGTCTGATCTACTTTGTTGAAATGGCTCATCTCCTAGCTCCTCTGTGCTGCCATGCTGGTCCAGTTCCTCAGAATCTAGTGGCCTGTCAGCGGCCTTAACTCCACACGCCCGAGCCGCAGTTCCATCCTTCATGAAAACCTCTGCCCTGGTGACTTCCCCCGGCACTGCCGTCATGACAGACACCCTTGGACCCCTGATGTCTTCTCAAACATGAGTTTCAGGGCCTTTGGAAATTCCCCCTGATGGTATAGTCAGACTTCATGTCCCATTACTCCCCAGTAATTATCTTTCAGTTAGGAGTCACAGATTCTGCTTGGTCCCCACATACGCGACGCTTATTTTTGCTCCGTCTGATGTAGTGGTCCCCCCCACCTCCAGGGTACCTCCTGGAGCCCATCCTTTCCATGAAATCTTCCTTTC